CCTTAAACTCAGAGTGACCTTCCTGGCTCAGCCTCCCAAGTGCTGGGATTACAGGGGTGCAGCACACTTGCCCCTTCTATTTGGACATGGTTTCCCACAGACATACCCAGAGCTCCCTGAGCCTGCTGTGCAGTGCCATCGGGCACCCTGATGCCCACATGACCTGGGTCTGAGGGCGACTGGCTCTTAGCACCTTGGGGTTAAGGACTCATGTGGTGGTCCAGGGTCAGGTTAAAGGCAGTGCGGTCAGGAGGCTGCTCTGCAGTTGGGAGGTCATGAACCGTAAGGCATCATAGGGGGACCAAGACACTTAACAGGTCCAACCACTTGTGCAACGTGGGGGCAGGATGAAAAGTTTTAGGGTGTGGATCCCAGCCCAGCCTGTCACCCCCCAAGTAGACGTGGCACAGACCTCTAAGCCCTTCCTGGGTCTGTTTCCTCTCTAAACAGTAAATTAAAAGGGGTGAGCATCCGGTTGTAATGGCACACGCTTACTATCCCAGCACTCTGGGAGGCTGAAGCAGGAGGATCATTGGGAGTTTGAGGCCAGCCTGGGCTACAAAGTGAGCTCAAGGCCAGCCTGAACTCCATATTGAGACCCTGTCTCAAAAAGACAAAAAAGAAAAAAAAAAGAGTGTAGGAAATCTGCCCTCAAACTAAAGACCCAAAGAATCCAGCTGAGGGCCTCTATCCCTTGGTAATGTCCTGCATGAGTCCAGCTGAAGACCTGGAGCCTATGACAGCGCCTCCCTCCACCCAGTCTTGTTCAAGCTTGTTTCAGGGATCTGCGCTGGGAACGCCCAGAGGTCAGTGGTGGAAGCGAGAAAGTCTGCGCCAGCGGGATGAATGATCTGTGCCAGCAGGCTGAGGGGTCTGCACTGAGGCCAGGAAGCAATGTTCAAAGTAAGGACCAGAGCTCCCCGAAAAGTACCGCAGCCATCCTCAGCAAGAGGAAGGTCCTGAGGTCCTCTGAGGATGACAACAGCGAGTTCATATCAGGAAGGCCAGCATGACAGGCTCCTCCAGGAGAACCAACACCCCAAACCTCTTCTTCTGCAGCTCTGCTTTTTATATTGTTGGCAGCAACCCTCAGGCGCGCCCTCCACACCCAGCACCGCACTGACTCAGTTCAGCGGGTGTTACAAGTTGGCCACCAGTTGTCAGTCCACCACACCAGGTGTGGAGTGTGCCTGTTGTCCTGGAACTTGGGAGGCTGAGGCAGGAGGAATGCTTGAGCCCAGAAGTTCAAAACCATCTTGGGCAATAGTGAGATCCTGCCTCAGAAGAAAAAACAAGATTTCGGTGGAGCTGCTGCTCCGCCTCCTTGTCCACTTCACAAGGTTGATGTCTGCGATCAGATCAGCCCACAGCATAGGAGGTGCTCAGCGCTCAGTGAGGGAGCACCTCCCCTCCAGCTGCTCCACGCGGGTGTGCGTGTGTGTCTACCTGAGTGTCTCGGGCCTCCAGACAGCGGGCACTTACAGCAGGCCTTTGTACGGGGACGGTGGGAAGTTTTGTTTCTTGTACCAGCAAGCGCTGTTCCCTTGGCCATGGTCTCTGGGTCCCTGGCAGTGCAGGACCGGGCACTGCCCCTTCGTGCCGGGGTGTGCACAGCTTCCGAGCTGGTAGCCAGTGTGTCCCTTCCGTGTGACCCTGGGCCCGTCACCAGGCCGTCTGCCTGAATCAGCTGACGTAAAAATAGGCCCAGCCCGCTGCTCCCACTGGGGGTGCAGTGGGGAGTGTATGTGACGCCTGTCTGCGGTGGGCCTTGCTTGGTTGTCCAGGGCCATGACTGTGGGGCGGAGAAGGCCAGAAGTCCGAGACAAGGCTGGCCCCTTCTGAACCATGAGGGGCCCACACCCCAGGCCCTGGCTGGTGCGCCTCAAGGTCCTTGGCTTGTGGAAGGGTCACCCCATCTCTGCCTCTGTCTGCACCCAGCACTCTTGCCGTGTGTGTCCAGCTGTCCCCTCCATACAGGCCCAGGCCTTGGCCCCCTTTGAGCCCAGTGGTGTCTCCAAGTGACATTCTAGAGTCCTGGGGGCTGGGGCTTCACCGAGTGGCATTCGGGGAACATGGGTCAGCCCGTGGGGCCCTCGTCTGTGCTCATGTATATGCTCTGTGCCGTGTTAGATCAGGAGGGATTACACCTTGTCCTCTCCAATTCATAGCATTTTAGTGGCTTTGAGCCCAGGACCCGGCTGGAAGTGCAGCTGAGGAACCGATTGTCCTGAAGCAGCCGTAGCTGCAGAGGAAGGAGCCTGCGGCTCTCCTGTGCGCGGCCTAGTGACGCGTCTTGTGTGCTGCTGGGGGCCCCATCCGGCAGGAGCCATCACCAGCTCACACCGTGCCCACACTTCAGACCGGAGCCTCGCCTGCTCTGGAAACTCCGGGCCACCTCTCCTGCACCTCGGCAGCCTGGGTGCCTGGGACACATTCAGCCCTGCAGGAGGAGGACCCAGAACACCCAGCGCCAACCCACAGCCGCTCTGTCCAGTGGGGAGGACGGACAGAAGCAGCCACCATGCATGGTTAGCTCAGCAGGCAGCGCAGGGCAGGCCCAGGCCGCTGTGATGAGGGTGGTGGCTTCCAGTTAAGGCAGCCTCAGCCTGGCCTGGAGGGGCAGGTGAAGGAGGGTGCTACCCAGAGTGAAGGACCCACGGCTGAAGATGGCGCAGGGCTCTGTGCTCCCTGGCAGGCATCCCTAGCATTGTAGGACCCCCTGCCTGCACCTGGAAGAGCAGTACTGCCACCCAGAGCAGTGCTTCCCAAGAGTCACACAGGGCACTAAGAACTGCGCTGAGGACTTTCCCGTTACTTTTTCCCTGACCTGAAGGCAGCCACAGTGGTGTGTATTAATCCTATATCACAGATAGGGAAACTGAGGCACAAAAACCAACAGGTCATCCCGCTCCTAGCCTCGTGGGTTTGCGTGTGCCACTGTGGTGATCCGTGTGACCCCTCCACCTCCAACGGCTGGGCTGCTGTCAGGTGACCACAAGCTGGCAAGCTGAAAATAGCTGAGATGAGCCGGCCGTGGTGGTACATGCCTGTTGTTCAAGTATCTGGGAGGCTGAAGCAGGAGGATTGCAAGTTCAAGCCCAGCCTAAGTGACTTAGTGAGACGCTGTCACAAAATTAAGAAAGCACTGGCGATGTCTTTCAGTGCAAGGGCTCTGAATTCAATCCCCAGTACCACAGAAAAAAGAAAAATCTCCCAGCACGTATGTCCATGTTTGCCCCCTCTTCTGAGGACACTTGTCACTACCCTCCTGACTTCCTCTAGACTTGCTCCGGTCCGTGGTGGAGGGACGTGACTTGGGGACACTGTTAATTAAGCCTGATCAAGGCAGCCCTGAATGTCACCTTTCCTCTTTGATTTTTATCATGTCAGAAGGTTTTGGGTCACTCCCTGGTCCCCAGGGGAGGTGCTGACCCAGGCCAGGCTTGCCACAGCAGGCCTCAGTCCTGCATGGCATTGCCCATCCTGTCCTACCACCTCCACTGGCACCTGCGCCTGTGGCTTCTCGCTCAGCACTGTGATGGTCACCATGGGCAGAGTCCCTTATGCTGGTCTGGGCACCAGGTCGCCTGTGTGAAGCAAGGCTGCAGCTCTGGGTCCCAGCCCTCTCCTGGCCTCACCGTGTGGCCCCGCTCTAGAGCTTTGCCAGGGTTTCAGGGTCCACAGATGTGAGCTAAGCACCTGCCGAGCTCTGGGAGAGGGGTGTGGAAGACCCTAGTTGTGGCCCCAGAAGGTACCACCTAAAGGCAGGTGCCCTGGTCGTGTGAGGTGCTTGCTGCTCACCCAGAAAAGAGGCAGCCAACTGCAGTGGCACATGGCTGTCATCCCAGCACTCTGTGAGGCTGAGGCAGGAGGATCACAAGTATAAGCCCAGCTTGGGCAATTTAGCAAGACCCTGCCTCATAATAAAACATAGGGCTGGCTGAGCTTGGTGGGGCACACCTGTAATTCCAGCACTTGGGGGTCTGAGGCAGGAGGATTGCTCTGAGTTTAAGTCTAGGCTGGGCTACAAAGTGAGTTCAAGGCCAGCTTGAACTGTATAGTAAAACCGTGTCTCAAAACGACAAAAAATTAAAAAAAAAAAAAAATAGCCAGGTTTGGCGCATGTCTGTATTCCCAGCCCTTGGGAGGCTGAGGCAGGAGGATCACTGCAAGTTCGAGACCAGCCTGGGCTACAAAGTGAACTCAAGGCTAGTCTGAACTCCATGGTGAAACCCTGTCTCAAAAAGATAAATAAGTAAGGAAGTAAATAAATAAATAAATGAAACAAAACATACGGCTGAGAATGTGGCTCAGTGGGAAAGCCCTAGGTTTAATCTCCAGTACTGCTGAATGAATGAATGAGTGAATGGATAAATGAATAACTGAGGAGTGGCAAAAGCTTTGACTGTGGACTAGGTACGGCTGGTACTGTGATTCTTGGGACCAGGTCATTTTCTGTGTGCTCAGATAAATATATAGACCTCAAGCCCAGGTCCCCCATCTTAGACACGGATGTGCTAAAATGTGCTGGGGCCCTCAGGGCCGCCAAGTGTGAGACAGGTCTGGTGGCTGGAGCTGAGAGTGCAGGTAAGGGGTTAAAGGAGCTGGTTGTGACCTAGCACTCACCCGGCTCTCCATGCGGCCCCACAGATCCCAAAATCCCAAGCATCTCCTCCTGTGGCTCGAGATGGACAACAAGAAGCGCCTGGCCTACGCCATCATCCAGTTCCTGCACGACCAGCTGCGGCACGGCGGGCTCTCGTCCGATGCCCAGGAGAGCCTGGAAGGTATATGGCCTGGCCTGCCAAGGACGGTGGGGCAGCCGCCCGAACTGGGGAAGTGGGCTGGTGGGAAGGAGAGGACCCGGGCCAGAGCCCCCTGGGGCATCATGAGGAAGAGGTCATATAGAGGTCCCCATCCTACCTCACAGTTGCCATTCAGTGCCTGGAGACGGCCTTCGGGGTGACGGTGGAGGACAGCGACCTGGCGCTCCCCCAGACCCTGCTGGAGATATTTGAAGCAGCTGCGTCCGGCAAGGTGAGCCTGCATCCCCCTCCCAAAGATGATGGCAGCTATGGTAGGGACCACTGGTGTAGAGACCATGTGGCCATCCTCATCCTGGGCTGCACCTAGAGGGCCAGGAAGTCGCCTGCAGAGCCCCTGGGGCCCTGAGCTGGCTGCCCCTGTGGCCACCCCAGGGATGGCATGCTGAAGGGCGCAGGCTTGGGTGAGGCACAGCCACTTGTCTTACCTGTGGGCAGGAGGCACCACAGGACCCGAGGAGCCCCGAGCGGACCCCGCCTTCCGAGGAAGATTCAGCCGAGGCGGAGCGCCTGAAAACCGAAGGTGAGGGGTTGTGGCCCTGGGGGAGGAGGTCAGCGGGCTGGCTGTGGGCAGGGAGGTTACGCAGCGTGGGTTGTGTCTGGGCAAGGCTTTGTAAGGCCACAGCAGAGCTGGATCCCTGCCCACTCAGTCACTTGAAATCAGACTCACGCTACCAAGAAAGGTTGGGTTGCCTATGAAATTGAGAAATTGCCTGTGCTTCCTGCCATGTCTGTGGACACCATGTAAGCAGACAACCAGCAGGGGTTAAAAAACTTGGGGGGGTATTATGTTTATCCTGAACACATAGGTTTTTCCTTGACAAACAATACAGCGTAACAGCTATTTGTGGAGCATTGTATTAGGTGTTACAAGTTCTCTAGAGATGGTTCCTAGCACTGTGGGGGGCTGAGGCAGGAGGATCACAAGTTCAAGCCCAGCCTGAGGGGTTTAGTGACTCGGGGAGAGCCAGTCTCTGTAGAAAAGCCTGGGTACATAGTTCTGTGCGAGGCCCTAGGTTCAATCCCCAGTACCAGAAAAAAAGAAGAAAAAGTACATAGGAGGAAGCGCACAGGTTCTGTGCAGACGCCCTTTGATAGTTTTGTATACGGGGCCTGGGCGCCTGCGGGTCTTGGTGTGCAAGGGTCCTGGCCCTTGTCCCCTGGACACCGGGTGAGGACGGCTTTGTAGTCTGGGCCTCCTCTAGGGCTGTTGTGCAGGGTAAAAGCTAGAGGGACACTGGCCTGATCGGCATGTTCAGCCTCCTGTCCCGGCGATGCAGCTCGGACTGACCGGCTGGTTGCCCACTGTCTTTCTCTGCAGGGAATGAGCAGATGAAGGTGGAAAACTTTGAGGCCGCCGTACACCTCTATGGCAAGGCCATCGAGCTGAACCCCTCCAACGCCGTCTACTTCTGTAACAGGTACAGCAGGGGCGTCGGCACCGTAGGCACAGGTCGGGGTGGTCGGCGTGCAGCTCCAGGTGAGGACATCAGGGGCACTTGGCAGTGACCTTGCAGCCCTGGGGCGGGCTTCCCACCCCAGACGCACACCAAGGGAGTAACCGAAACGTGTTTGCGTGCTTATCGAGAGTGACCTCACCCACAAAGTGCTGTCGGCCGGCCGAGGTGCCGGGGCGGAGCCCAGGGCCGGGCCGCACATGCTGGGTGAGCGCTTACCACTGAGCTGCTCCGCGCGCGCGCGTGGCCCAGAGCAGGGCCTGGCTCCACCCCAGGCGATGTGAGGAAAGGAGAGGTGTCTGTCAGAGCCACAGCCCTGTGAACGTGGAGGGGCCGCTTTTTGGGGTGTGGTTTGTTTTGGTTTTGGATTTTACAACAGCATCGGTGTAATTCAGGCCAGCCTTGAACTCCTTGTGTCATTTAGGCTGGGCTTAAACTCACGATCCTCCTGCCTCAGCCCCCAAGTTCAGGGATTACGGGCCTGTGCCACCACGCCCGGCTACAACGTGTATTTAATATAGTACATTGCTGTGACTGTTGTTTTATTATTCTACCTCGTTCATAGACTACATTTACAGATTTTAGCGTAGCATGCTCTTTGTTGTTTTGGTTTTATTATTGTCATTTATGAATTTGCCCAGCTCCTGAATTAAAGCTCATCACAAGTGAGCGTATGTTCAGGAAAACCGTACGCTCCACACTTCTGTGCCATGGTGACTTCCGGTGTCCTCTGCGGCCTGGGGATACACCCCCTGTGGGTGCGGAGGGGCCACAGTGTTTGCATTCTTGAATGGAGAGGAAGGGATGGGACCAAACATTGTGTGAGGCCGAACCGACGGCCAGTGTCCCCCGGACTGGGCAGTTGGCCACTGAACCCGCAGGGGCAGCGCACAGCCTTGGGTTCATCTCAGCCGTCCGTGGGCCACGCGCTCACACCGGCTCTGGGCTCAGCGTGCTGGCGGGGGGCCGGGGTGCTCAGCACGACACCACCCTCTGCCTCCCATTCGGCCGGTGGGGGTGGCTCTCTCACCTGACGGGAGAGTGCGACTCGGCTGGGAAGTAGTGAGCTGGGATGGCCCCACCAGTGCGACTCCAGGGGCTGTGTCACTGCTGCGTGCGTGGATTGCATCTGACTTTGGGCCCAAAGAGCCCCCAGGCGGGCAGAGCCTTCGTGGTGGTGTCCAGGCACTCTGGGCCCAGGCCCCGATCCTGCGCCCAGTTCCTGCACATGGGCCGCTGCGCAGCGCCCACACTGCCCAGTGGGGACATGCCTCTTGCCAGTCCAAAGCCCCATTCGTGGCTGGGAAGCAAGGACCCCACCCGCCCTTGTCTCCCCAGAGCGGCGGCCTACAGCAAGCTGGGGAACTACACGGGCGCCGTGCAGGACTGCGAGCGCGCCATCTGCATCGACCCAGCCTACAGCAAGGCCTACGGCCGCATGGGGTGAGTGGGCCTGGAGCTCCTGGCATGGACGTCCCGTCCCGCTCCTTGGAGGAGCCCTCAAGCCCAGGGAAGTTTGTCCTGCGCTCGGTGTCCTGCTTGGCACCAGATGGTGGCTGTAGAGCCCACCAGCGATAGGCAGCCACCAAGGTCCCCAGTGACGGCTGGGGGACCAGAGCAAGAACCTCTGTCCCTGGGACTGGACGAGCCACCCCAACTGAGTTCCCAGCCTGGGGCCCTGTCCTCTGGACACCAGCCTCATGCTGAGCCTGGGGAGTGGCACCTGAGTCCCCTCTGCCGGAGAGACCTGGGTGTGGCCCAGGGGCTCCTTACCAGCAGCAGGAGACTCTGTCACTCAAAGTCTGAGGGCTTAGGAGCTCTGTGCCAGGGCATGTGCCGAGCCCGGCTCTGTCCCCTCACCACGCACCCCCATGCCTCGCTTGGGCTTCGCGGCATCTGGCGTGGGTTCCCAGGCTCCAGCTTCCCCGTCCAGCTGAGCATCCTAGAGACCGGCTGTGTCTCTGTGGGGAAAGTGGCCGTGGTACAGCAGTGTCTGAAAGAGTTGCGGGGGGGTCGGTTGCTGGGTCCCCTCGGGTCAGGGCCTCAGGCGGGCCGGGTGAAGGTGACTCCACCCCCACACACCGTCGCCCCCAGCCTGGCGCTGTCCAGCCTGAACAAGCACGCGGAGGCGGTGGCCTACTACAAGAAAGCTCTGGAGCTGGACCCCGAGAACGAGACCTACAAGTCCAACCTCAAGATAGCAGAGCAGAAGCTGCCGAGCCCTGTGAGTCCTGCGGGGATGGGCGGGGAGGCCACGTGAGTGTGCTCAGCCTCCAAGGTTCATCATGTCCGGTGTGTCAGGACACAGGCATGGGACACGCCTGACATCCCAGCGCCGAGGGAGTCTGTCACAGGACGGTCACACGTTCAAGCTCAGGCTGAGCAACTTACCAACTTGGCTAGACCCTGTCTCACAATGAAAAAGGGCTGGGGATGTCGCTCAGTGGGAAGGCCCTGAATTCACTTGCTGTGTTGGAAAAAGAACAAAAAAGAACCTATAGACAGGGAAATAATGGTTGAAAGCAGGGGAAAAGTTCACGCCTGGATCCCTCAAATGTACTACATGCGCCAGGCGGGGTCCCACGGGCCTGTGCTGGGAGGGTGATTGGAGGCCGAGGCAGTGGGCTCTGGGCATGGGCTGTCCTGGTGGCCGGGCAGGTGGGCCTCACCTGGAGCGTGGGAGCCTGCAGGGGTAGGCTTGTGTTTGCCCAGCAGCATCTGAGCATGGGGTCACCGCAGGCATGGATGTGCCCTAGGACAGGCTTTCCTCGCGGGGCCAGCCTGGCTCCAAGATGTGAACCTCTGAACACAGGAAATGAGGTGCAGCCACCAACTGGCCATGTGGGTCAGGGCCCCCGGTGCAGTGCTGCCTCATGGGTGGACGGGACATCCAGCGCTGTGGGCCTGACCATACTGACCGTACTGCGGCTGTGTCTGGCTGTCACTAACCGCGCTTTTCTTGTCCCTAGACGGGCGGCGTGGGCGGCTTCGACATCGCCGGCCTGCTGAACAACCCGAGCTTCATAAACATGGTAACAGCCCCACCTTTCCACCCACCGTGTCCCCACCGCGGCCTGCGCATGTGCAGGCGTCACCACTGTGCCAGGGCTCCCCGGCCAAACGATCCAGGACAGTTACAACCCTGTCCCCAGCTCAGTTCCTCTTGGCAGTGTGACATGGTGACGGACAGCACCGTGTCGTCTGCTAGGTTCAGAGATAACGCAGGGTCCCAGGTGCCCAGGGCCATGATGCCATCCTTCAGGGGCAGCATCCACCGTGTGCAAGGGACATCAGCCTGGGCCACCAGCCTGCTTGGTGCGACCCTCACAGCCCTGCACACATGTCCGTTTCCTGGGCGCTCTCAGCCTCCCTAGCGTGGAGCCCAGAGGCTGCCCTGCTGGTGTCACCCTGTATCTCCTTCACCCTAGGTGGGGACCCAGCACTGGCCCTTCACGTGCCTCAGAGCAGCAGTGAACTGGTCACTGACCACTGGCCTCAGCCATCTAGGGCTGGCAGGTCATGGCCCCAGTGGATTTTTTTACGGGCAGCAGCTGTCTCTGGACACTGTGGTCAGCAGCCGCCCTCGTCTTGGGGAGGCTGCGCTGAGCAGCTGGGTCACAGAGCCCGTGGCTGGCGGAGCCGACACGTTCTGCCCTTCACGAGAACCGCAGGCCAGAGGCTCGGAGCGTCTTTCTGTCGGCTGCTTTAAGCTGTCCTGCCGGGTGTGGAGGTGCACACCTGTAATCGCAGAACGTGCACTCTGATCCAGGAGGATCGTTGCAAGTTTGAGGCCAGCCTGGGCTGCATGGCCAGACCCTGTCTCAAAAACAAACAGAAAAATCAGGCCGAAGGAAATAATGCCGGAGGGAAAGTGAGGGGATGCTGATGCCCGGAACAGCACCGTCCATTGACGGTAGAGCCACACCAGAGCCCCAGCTGCCTGCAAGTAGACAGTGGTGGCAGCAAAGGCCAGACGTGCCCGTCCCAGAGCAGCCCGAGCTACTGGCGAGAAACTTGTGTGGGGCTGCGGGTCTGTCTGAAGGGTCCAGGACAGGACAGGGCGGGAGCCGGCGCATTCAGGAACCACAGCTCCTGAGGAGAGGGAACCAAAATGTAGGGAAAAGAGTTAGAAAGGCCAGGCTTACGCGTCGGTGAGGACACCTGAGGATGAACAAGGTTCGGTTAGGCAGGCGTGATGGTGCATGCCTGTCATCCAGTTACTTCGGGAGGCTGAAGCAGGAAGATCCGAAGTTCCGGCCTAGCCTGGGCAACTTAGTGAGACTCTGTCAAAATTTAAAAGGGCTGGGGCTGTAGCTCAGTGATATAGCGCCCCTATGTTCCATCCGCAGTGCCACCAGCGGGGAAGAAGCTTTAAAAAGAATGTGCTGGGGCGATGCTTTTGCTGACAGAGGTGTTCTTTTTTTTCAGGCATCAAGCCTAATGAACAGCCCCCAACTCCAGCAGCTGTAAGTGAGCAGTCCCTTTGTGTTTGCTTGTGGTTACATTTCTTACCTAGCAGAAGGGGCATAACGTTAAAGAATAGTTTTGAGCTATATTAAAGTGCACAGCTTAATAGCAGTAGGTACATTCACAGTGTCACGCATCCATTTGCCCTGTGTAATTCCAAACCATCTGCCACCCCAAAGAAAGCCCTATCCGTCCCCGTGAGCAGTCACCTGTCCCCTCGCCAGCCCCAGCACCCGAGAGTCCACTTCCTGTCTCTGGGTTCACCTGTTCCGGGGGTTTCCTGTCTGTGGAGCCCACCCCGTGCGTCCTGTGTCTGGTGTCTCTCACTGAGCACGGCGTCCTCAAGGTCCGTCCATACCGTGGCGCGCGTCACAGCCTCACTCTTCTCCGTGGCCGAGTGACAGCCTGCTGTGGGGTGGACGTCATTGGTGCGTTCACCTGTCCAGGAATGTGTGGGCTGCTTCTGCTCGGCTGTGAAACGTGCTGCTAGTGTCACTGGGACACAGACCCGTCGGGATGTTTTGAGTCCCTGTCCTCGGTGCTCCTGGGTACCTGCTGGGCGGTGCTATCGTCGGGCCACGTGCTGGCTGGCAGAGGCCCCGCTGGCCGCCTTCACGATCCAGGTGTGAGCAGCTTCGCAGCCACGGAGCTGCCGGGCTGTTCTCTGGGTACCGCAGGGTGCTGAGCAGTGCCCTGGCCTCCGCTCCGTGCTTGTCATCCCAGTCCTGGCAGTGACAGATGTCACCCGGTTTCCCCAGGGGCAGATCTGCCTTGTCTGAGACCCACTTTTCAGGGAATGCTGACAAAGCCACAGGGTCGGGGGCGTGATCACAGAGTGTCCCCTCCTGGGATGACCAGCAGCTGAGAGGTGACCCCCACGGGGCGTGTACCAGGTGCGGGTGTGACAGGGCTGTCCGTGACTCCTGCACGCTTCTTCCCCGCAGCATGTCCGGGATGATTTCGGGCAGCCAGAACCCCTTGGGGACCCCCGGCACCAGCCCTTCACAGAACGACCTGAGCAGCCTCATCCAGGCGTGAGTGGGGCCACACCCAGGGTAGGGGTTCAGGGTAAGGGGGCAGTTCAGGGCTTGTCCCAGCTGCTCCAGGGACCCAGTGCCCTCCAGCCTGCTTGGGCACCACCCTGGCGGGAGAGGGTGAGGGGGCAGGGGCATGACCACAAGCCAAGCTGCCCACAGGGGCCAGCAGTTCGCACAGCACATGCAGCTGCAGAACCCCGAGATCATCGAGCAGCTGCGCAGCCAGATACGTAGCCGAACCCCCAGCGCCAGCAACGACGAGCAGCAGGAGTGATGGGCAGGTGAGCCCGGCTGGCGGGGCAGGGGCAGCGCGGGGCCTGGGGTCAGCGTCGCACTCCCTTGGCACAGGCACTGGCCAAGTGTGCTGCTCTGCGCGCGGACTATCGAGGGCGCGGGACACAGGGTGGTGCTGCCTCCTGCAGGACTGTGTCCTGCCCTCTCGTTGGGGGACATTCCATTGTTTTGTCAGAGACAGCAGGTGTCACCTTCGTGATTCCTTAAACCGTTCCAGGTGGCCCTGGTTGGTGTGGTTCGCAGTCCCCGGGGGCCCCAAGCTCAGTGTCCTCTGTCTTTAGCAGACCCCCAGGCCTCCTAGTGGGTTCATCATTCTGCTCTGATGTGATCTCTTTTCATTTTGTCATGGTTCTCTCTCACATACACACACACACACACACACACACACCCTTAAATTTTTTAACCATGATTATTTTATTTTATTTTATTTTTTCTGTTTTTTTTTCCGGTACCGGGAATTGAACTCACGACCTTGCGCTTGCCAGGCAGGTGCTGTGCCACTGAGCTAAATCCCCAGCCCCTAACCATGATTATTTTAGAAAAACCTTAAAAAGCAACAAAAACAGCCTTAATAATTGCATGCAGAGCAAACTCATGTTAACATTGTGGGCACTTTTTCTTGTCTTATTTTTGGTGCTGAGGGTGGAACACAGGGCCTTACATATGCTAGGCAAGGACCCACCACTGAGCTGCACCCCAGCCCTCCTCTTTTTTTTTTTTTTTTTTTTTTTTTTTTTTTTTTTTTTTTTTTTTTTTGTTATTATTTAATTTATTTGTTTCTGGTACCAGGAACCGAACTCAGGACCTTGTGCTTGCCAGGCAGGTGCTTGTGCCGCTGAGCTAAATCCCCAGCCTTTTTTTAATAAGCTTTTTGTTTTGTTTTGTTTTGTTTTGTTTTGCTTTGCTTTTTTCAGATAGGGTCTTGCTGGTATTTTAGGCTGGCCTCAAACTCATGGTGATCTCCTGCCTCAGTCTTCTAAGTGCTGAGATAATGAGCATGCACCGCCATGCTTGGCTCAAAAAGCTTTCTTTTTTTTTTTTTTTTTTTTTGTCATTTTGAGACAAGGTCTCCCCATGCAGTTCAGGCTGGCCTTGAGCTCACTTTGTAGCCCAGGCTGGTCTTGAACTCGCAATGATCCTCCTGCTTCAGCCTCCCAAGTGCTGGGATTACAGGCATGCGCCACCATGCCCCGGTCAAAAAGCTTTTATAGAAAAAAATATTTGAGTCAGAAGCCAAGCGCAATGGCCGGTGCCTGTCGTCCCAGCCCTCTGAGAAGCTGAGACAGGGAAATCGCAAGTTTGAGCCCAGCCCGGGCAACTTGGTGACTTAGAAGTAAGCATGGCCGGGAATGGAGCTCAGTGTGAAGCCCTGGGTTCATTCTCCCGTACTGCAAAACAAGCAGCTCAGTTGTGACGAGCTCTGGGTCCATTTTGGCTGTGTACGCACGTCCAGGTCTCAAGCTGATAGGACCTCCCAAATAATGGCCCTGTCCTGTCTGTGCTGATGCGGCAGCCACAGCCCATGTGGCAATTAGGTATTTTCCCAGAGCACGATAGGACTCTCAGGGTTTTGGTGGCTGTGTTGGGGATGCTGGGCCAGTGCTCACCACCGCGCGGTGCCCTGGTCCCCACTCTGGTGTGGGGACTGAATTCAGAGCCTTCAGCTGAGCTCTACCCCAAGGACAGGGTTTTCCCTAAGTTGCTCTGTTGCACAGGCTGGGCTTGAATTTTTCATCCTCCTGTCTCAGCCTCCCAGAGTGCGGGGATGACAGGTGTGCACCGTAGCCCTACCTCTGCTGCGAGTGTTCATGGCTCCTGCAGCCCTGCCCTCCCTCGTGCGTGGGCCTCACACCCAGTTGCAGCCCTGCCACCCACCTGTCTGTCCCCCAGTGCGCCGGTGCCACCCGTCCTTCCCGGCTGACCGGAAGCCTTCACGTGTTTTGCCGTTTTCTCCCATTGGGCTGCTCAAGAGAGAAGCAGACAGTGAAGTCGGGCCTGCATGTTAGGATGGACCCCGCCCCTGCTGCCCCCGCCCTGCCTCCCCTTCGTCCCTCCACGGCCCAGGCCCCTTCTGAGGAAAGAGCCAGCGAGCCCAGTGCTGACCAGCAGTGACCTTTCTCCCGGCCCCAAGAGCCCTGCAAGTCACTGAGCAGGGCCCCGTAGTCCCCACCGCCTCTTGATGTGCCCTCAAGGACTTTGAGAGCCGAGCCGACCTCGCGGCCTGGGGCAAGCTCACTGCCAGCCCCGGCCTGGGCGCCCAGCCCGGGACCTCGCGTGCCCCTCCCGAGGGCCTCGAGCCGCAGCGCCTGATGGGACTCCTGCCGCTGCCTCTGTTCAGTGCGTCCCAGGGACACCCACAGCCCGGCGTGTGGACAGGCTCGCTCCCTCCAGCCCTTCTCCTGCGCTCCTCACAGCCAGCAGCTCGGCTCGGCCTCTGTCCGGCCTGTGCAGAGGGACCCTGTCCTGGCTCCTGCACGTTCCCTCCTGTCCTGCTGCAGGCAGGACCTGGGGCCGCCCCCTCGGCTCTCAGACAGCGCAGGAGCTGCTTCTGGAGGGGCGCCACTGGGAAGTGTGGCCCTCACAGATCTCCCCACTGCCGCCGTGGCACTGCAGACATCCCTGTGACCCAGTCGGCCCCGGGCGCCACCAGGCCACGTGGTTGTGAGGCAGCCACGGTGTGTATCAGGAAGCGGGGGCCGCCACCACAGACACCACCACCCTCACCAGCGGGACGTGGCCAGCCTGTCCCGTCCGCAGGAACCATGTGGGGAATAAACAGACATGGTGACCTCCTTTCGGCTTGCCTTGACCTCAGCGCCATGAGCCCTCTTCACCTCCCCACACCCCGCATACCGCGTCAGCGACCGTGGGGACCTCCTGTGACCAAGTTGCCGAGAGGGCCCCCAGTGAGCACTTAGGGCCTCGCCCCTGGTGGTGGCCTCTGCTCAGGCAGGCTTGCTCCCTGCCACATGGTCCCCGCCGCGCCCTGGGCACCGTGTGCAGAGCTGTCCTGCACACCCCTGACAGCAGCACAGGTTCCAGGAGCAGCCCTCAAGGGCTCCTGAGCCACAAGGAGCCCTAGAACATGGCAGCCTCCTCTCCGCCAGCGCGGAAGCTGGGTGGCTTCACAGGCTGGGTGCAGGCCGCCCAACCAGGGAGGGCATCCACCTCCACGGCCCCTGTCACCACAGAGCCCCGTGTGCAGGGGGATTCGGAGTTCCGTGTTACCTGCTGTCAGCTCCCACGGGAGACAGGCGGCTGGGGGCTCCTGGCACAGAACGCGCCCCTTGGGCTCCAGTGCCCAGGCAGAGAAGCCCTGAGGAGCGTGACGCGGTGCACCCTGCGCGTGTGGAGGGCACACAGATTGTGTATTGGTACGAACACGTCTGGGGGACAGGAGAGTCCACTCGTGGGGTGGTGGTGCACACGTGCAGTGCACCTCAAGCCTCGGCTGCCCCAGCCCTGGCTCCCCCATCCCGAATCTCCTGAAGTGCAAGGGGCTTTGACTGCTGGGTGAGGCTGAGCCACCCCCAGCTCGAGGGAGTGGCCCAGGCTGTGCGCCCTTTCATGCCCACCGCCAGCCGCTTCTCCCTGCACCCTAGGTGCACACAGCGACCGGCCCCTGTGGTCACCCTGCGGTGAGAAACACCCACAGGTGCTCTTGGGTCGTCCTGGGTGGTTTCCGTTTGTCTCCAGTGGCTTTGTCCCCCACCGGGCGGCCTGTTTGTCCTCATACTGATTCAGGTGCAGCTGAATCCTTTGGTCTGATGTGGTGCCCCAGGCAACAGGTGCAAGCAGGGCTGCCCCCTGCTGGCCGAGCGCATAATCGCCGAGCCTGTCCAGTTGAGGACTTGCTCCCATATTGAAATAATGGTGTGCACCTGTCATCCCTGCATTCGAGGAAACTGAGGCAGGGGGGCCACACATTCCAACACAGTCTGGGCAGCTTAGCAACTCGGCAGGACCCTGTCCCCAAATCAAAAAGGATTAACGACGTGGTTCAGTGCAAAGGCCTTGGGTTCAATGCCCAGTATAGGGGCAGGGGGATTGAAAACGAAACTAGCACACCAGGCCCAGCCCAAGTGTTCAGGGAGGATGAGAAACCTTCCTTTGGTGGGGCTGGGGATTTAACTCAGTGGCATAGGGCCTGCCTGGCAAGTGCAAGGTAGTGAGTTCTATTCCCAGTACCGGAAGAAAAACAAACAAAAAAAAGCAAGAAGCCTTCCTTTGGGGAATCACTGAGACGTTGGGAAAGGCGGGTGGGGAGTAGGCGCTGTCAGCGTCTCCCCTGGACTCAAGGCGTTTGCATGCTTGACGCGAAGTTGTCGTAATCGCTGCTGGGTCCCACAGAGCTGGAAATAGGGTTGTTTCTAAACATTGCTGTCAGAGCGAAAGACTAACAGTGTAACGTGGATTTAGTGTAAGTCATGACTTGCGTTGCCAGGAGTGGGTTGAGCCTTGTGATTTGAGGCACTGATTGCTCCCTTAGGGGAGGAGAATCTGAAGGCTCAGCTCCCTGCTGCGCTGCAGCCTTGGGGAGGAAGTCCTGGGACCGCCAGTGCCAACGGGGCACCCACGAAGGACGGAGGAGCAGAGTGTCTCTTTCACAGAACCAGCTGAGTTCCCAGGCACAGTCGTCAGTGTCTGGGGACCTGTGTGACTGTCACTCGGGGGAGACCCAGCATGGAGCAAGCGGACGGCAGGGATGCCACCGCTTAGCACCCAAAGTGCCCAAGATGCCCACCCCAAAATGCAGTCCCTGGAGTTCAGACTTGAGTCACTCCCTGATCTGTCACCAGCACACAGATATGTATGTCCATTTGCCCATTTGCCCATTTGCCCCCTGCAAAGATAATTTGTTCACCAGCCCTACGGTGTCTTTTTTAAAAACAATTATTTTTCTGTTTATTTTTGTTTCTATTTTTTTTTCTCTGATTATCTCTTTTTTTGTGGGATGGGGTTTACCGGGAATCAAACTCAGAACTTTGCGCTTGCCAAGCAGGTGCTTATGCTGCTGAGCTATATCCCCAGCCCCTGCATTGTCTTTCTATGCAGTAAAATATCCCTGCCAGAGTGGGCAACTTGAAGACCCAAAACAATGTGGGTTTGCCCACCCTGCTCCTGATCTTGCAAAATCTAATTGCGTCAGGTATGGTGGTGCACACCTGTAATCCCAGCACTCAGAAGGCTGAGGCAGGATGATTGCTGAGAGTTCAAGGTCAGCCTGAACTACACACCAAGACCTTGTCTCTAAAAGCAAAACAAAAAAAATCTAATTGCAAAAATTGAGCGAAAACCAAGAGGTATGTGGGTGCTCACAAATAGGGAGCTGGAACGGTGACTGGGCTGGTCAGCAGGGGACTTGCCCGTACGTTAGTGTCTCCTGTCAGCATGCACCTGGGTCTCCAGTGCAGCTTCAGGTCTGGATGGATCCAGGCATAGCTGATCCAAACTGACCTGGGCTTATTAGATCCTAGATCCACCACTGTGCCTAGAGATTGGCACAGTGCTCTCAGAGCTGATTCTTCTTTAAGAATTACAAGACTAAAACAGCAGAGTGCACAAAGTTGACTGGTCAGTGCAGCTTCATCCTGACCTGTCCTGCAGTGCTCCTTTGGCAGTACATACATTAGAATTGAACTGCCTGGTGAAACACAGGTCTGAAACAGCAAACCATCCAAGTGAGCTCTGAGAGTGCAGGTGGACCCACAAAGTGCTGCTAGGAACCACACGTAGTTTGGCTTATGGCTGCCCCCAATCCTCTAAGCTCCTCCTTTAGACCCACCTCTGGTAGTGCTACTGTGGGGGCCAAACCTTCAACCTAAAGCTCCCAGGGACATTTCATTCCAAACTATTATTTTCTCCCTGGAGATTGGAGATTGATTGGTTGATTGACTGATTTCTGCCTTTTTTGAGACGGTCTCGCTATGCAGTTCTGGCTGGCCTTGAGCTCACTTTGTAGCCCAGGCTGGTCTCAAACTCACAACAATCCTCCTGCCTCAGCCTCCCAAGTGCTGGAATTACAGGCGTGCGCCACCATACCTGGCTACTTTATTCTTTTTTTTTTTTTTTTTTCAGGCTTTTGATTAATGTATGAGTCTCAAAAAATCAATGTCAGAGGAAAGATGAAAATGGGATCAGGAGGAGATGGCCATGGGCACACACACATGAGCGGCTGAGTTAGAAGCTGGAATGAGGAGGCCTTTCTTGGGTGTCACATCTTGTCCAGCCTGTAGTCTTCCTTGGGGGAAATTGCCCGTCGTCACAGCTGATGGCTTGATGCCGACCTGTGCTTCGCCGGACACTCGAAGTAGCATTTCCCATTAACACTGCCATCATTTTTTCCTAATGGGTTCATCATAGCAGATGCCAATCCAATAGCCAGGCTTGAAATCTGTGAGTCCTACAAGCATGATGGTGCCCTGGCGAGGGGACTGCCTGGGCGTCCGTACCTCGCAGCAGCTGCCCATAGGGATGGTACTGGCTAGGGCCTTCTTGATTAGCCACTGGGTGGCCTCAGCCTCTTGCTGTGTGCCTGCTCCTCTTCATAGTATTGGCCAAGCTTGCTGTGCCTCAGGAAGGACGAACTGTGTCTTGCCTCTGGTCAGAGGCTTCATGTGAGATCTGGTATTTCTCCACCCTGGATGCATCCTCGGACTCCCCAAGGCGGGCACCGCTGTGGTCAATGACATGGACGCGGCGGTCAGCAGCTACAGGGTAGGAGCCCGGCAGTGCGTCCTCCTGTTCCAATTTGCTGTACAACTTGTCAGCACCAGACGGTTCCAGGTCCATGCAGGAAGCAGAGTTGCCCACGGCCAGCTCCAGTTTACACTTGAACTCAGCGATTGTGAGGCTGCGACTGTACCGCTTGTCAGAGCGGAAACTATTGAGGGAGCAGCTGATGAAAATGCTCGCTGTGGGGGCCTCGTCCCATCCCCCTCCATCTCTCCTCGCCCTGCTGCGGCCCCACAGCCCGGTTCAACTCCCGTATTCTTTCGTGCTACTGCATACCAACTGATTGTCAGGATGGCTCATGACGCTTTTAACTCTTGCCAGGCGTGGTGGTCCAAGCCTGTCCTCCAGCACTCGGGAGGGTGAAGCAGGAGGATCGCCACGAGTTCAAGCCCAGCCTGGGCTACAGAGCAAGACATTGCCTCAAAAAAAAATTTCCTTTAACTCTTCCCCTTACACATCCTTTAGATAGTTTGCATTGGAGGGAGATTTCTCCTCAAGTAGAAGTTATTTCTGTGGGCTCACAGTATAAAAAGATACTGCTTTTCAGTTTCTCCTGCAGATAAATTCCAACATCATATATAGATTTATGAAGTGGTAGTGGTCAAACCCAGGGCCTTGCGTATGCTATACAAGCTGTCTACCACTAAGCTACACCCCTAGCCTTTTTATTGTTCGCTCTGAGACAAAGTCTCACTGTGTGGTCCAGGATGGTCTTGCACTTGTAATCCTCCTGCCTCAGCCTCCTGCACTGTGGAGATCACAGGCTTGCACCACTTGCGCAGTTGGTACATGGACTCAGTACCCTCAGAAAGGCAGTGCATAGCTTCCTACTCCTTCAGCATGGGCTGCACTCAGTGACATCCCTTTCCAGAGGAGAGAATGGAAATGGGGAGGAGAGTGGACTTCAGCACAAGTGACCTGACAAGCATGGCTGCAGCCAGGTGGTCAGTCCCTGTCCACACTGCTGTGTCGCATTGACAGCAGGGCTGTGGCCATGACATCATGAGAAGGACACTGCATCTCCATGGTCCTCAGCAACATAACTGCCAAGCCAAGCA